ATCTGTGATTGGAAAACCGTTAGCCTTACTTGCTCTATGGTGTCGTTCAATTCTTCATGTTCTGTGAAAAAAACCAAAACATGAAAAATAATGATAATAAACTATAATTATTAATTCGAATTATAAATTGTATCCTTCTGTACTTTTTAAATGTAAGTGTCAATTCCCGCCATCCATTCGATTATTATTAATGAGAAATTGTAAAAGGAAAGGCTTGCAGCTTTTGAAAACCATTTTTTGACCCTTATGAAACTAAAACATGCATAAATATTAAGGAGATGATTTAGAAGATGATACTTTTGCGATCTCCGTCCTGATATCGGATTGATGTGGTTTTCTTGAAAAACCGAGACGATAAACTTCCTTCTCCAAGGAGAAGGAGCTTGCCATTTCTTGTTCACCTTATGTTTCTGAGAAGGATGCGACCACTTAATCCACTTAATATTCATTCAATATGTTCTGCAAATTTCAGAAAAAACTTAACTTTACGAAGAAAGCAATGAAGCTATATTACTGTCCATTTTCACTTTTCAAGGAAAAAAAAAACTGACAGCTCTTTTCAATGGCATTAAATTTACGGATATGGAAGTTGACAAAAACTTTTTCTTTCTATAAGGTTGGTAAGAAGACGGATAACCAAATAATCTTTTGCTGGAAACAGTTCCATGTGCATGCCATTCATATCTATAGAGGAGATAAATACCATTTCTTTGAATTCAATTTGCAATCCAAACCTCAGATTCCTTTGGAATCCGGTTATCAGAATTGGTTGTGTACTTTTTTAAGCTATGTTTCCATTCAGATCATGGCTGAAAAGCGAAATAGTATTGCATTTAGCATTTATGTTTGATCTTCTGCTCGTGATTTTCTTTTTTTTATTTATTTATTTTACGCGTTAATGACAGCCTAATTTAGTCGTGAAATCTCTTTTATTTTTTTTACTACCTATTAAAATCCTCCTTTTTTTCAGGACGTTACAATAAAATCCTATATATGCTTTTAGAAATTTATTATTATATTATTTATTATTATTATTATTTATTATTTATTTTGGTATTAAAGCATTAGGTGTTGGCTCCAAGTTTAAGTTCAAGAGAGAGCAAAGTGTCTATCCTTAGCTATTTAAAGGAACTTTACACATAGATCTGAAATTGGAATACATCAAATGAAAGGGAATAGACTTCGTATCATCTCTTAATCCTTGAGATAAAAAAATTATTAATTTTTAATATATTGTATGCCGCCCAAGAAAAAAAGGAAAAAGTAAAATAAAGAGTCATTCCAGTTTGAGTAAGAAAAATTAAACTTAATATGCATTATAAATTATGGACAATTCATATAATAAAAGATTTAAATATCTATTTTCATACAAAAAGATAAAACATTAATAACAAATTGCCTTTTTTAGGGATTTATTACAAATTTATCTTTTCTTTTTAATCAATTTATTTTTAAATTTAACAATCTCTAAATACATTTAATTTGTATTATATTCATATGTTAGAAAAAAAGTGGTTTTTTTATATATTGCATTATTTAATGTAATTCCAAGTTTCTTCAAATTAAAAAAAATGATTTTATGCGAGATCGCGTTCAAGGCTTGAAAAAGCTTTTCTATACTAGAATTGGGAGATTGGAGTGTTTCGAGCTTCTAGGGTTCAAGATTTAATTTAATTAATAGATTGTTTAATATGTTTTTAATTATAAAATTATTATTCTAAATTCAAAGAATTCCCTAAAAAACACTACTATTCAAACTAATTTTAATTAATTAATTAAAAAGCTTTTATTTTTATTAATGTTTGATAAATTTTAATTAAGAGCAATTGCCTAGTAATTAGCTATGCACCATCCTTTTTTTTTTTTTAAATTTGATTTCAAATGTAGTCAATTGCATGGATCTCGTGTTGATTTTTATGTTTATACCAGCAGTCCCCCCCTTCCACAAAATATCCCCTTTAGCAATTTGATATGGATGAAAAATTTTTATGGTGTCTTGAATTAATTTTATCCCTAATTTTTGGAATTATCATTTATTTTGGTTTTAATTTTAAAATCTTTGCTTTTGGACTCTT